AAAAAAAAAAAAAAAAAAAAAAAAAAAAGTGTAAAATATAGGATAATATTTATACGAATAAACTATAACATATTAACACAATTTAGTTTTAATTTTTAAAAAGAAATGTCCAAAAAAAAATACAGTAAATTTATATATATATATATATAAAAGAAAAAAATATATATAATAATAATAAAATGTAAAATCAAGCTCGTTCATAATTATAATAAAAATATACATAAAATTTTGAAATATCATTTAAAACTTCTTTTTTGATGTTTTATTTTTTACTTTTAATTAAAAAAAAAATGAAATAATTTTATTTTTATTATACTTCTTGTAATCATAAGATATGAAATTTTAGGGTTTTTAACAATGATAAGTAATTGTTTACTTAATAAAAAAAGTCAATAAATTAAAAAGATTAAAAATCTTTTAGAATAATTATTAGTATCACTTCACATAATTATTCACACAAATTGAAGAAAAATATAAATTCATCACTCTAATAATATTTATTTTTTTAAGATTTTTTGTTTTTTTATAAATGAATTTATTTCTTTTGTATGAAGATTTTTATTAACATAAGGATAAAAAATATCCATTATTATTAAGCACAAGTAGCTCTTATATTAATCTTATATAAAATGCAAGAAGAAAATGTAGAAAACTAAAGAAAATTAAGTTGTTTTTTTATAAAATTTATATTTACTCATATAATGTAAATGTTAAACTTTTTTGATTTTTTACTTTATTAGTTATTTATAAAACATTATTTAAAATGCACAAAAATTCTTGTCGTCTTTTTTTAGAAATATATTGTAAAAAATTATTAACTTTATATAATTAGTAAAATTGTAACAAACAAAAATATAATAAAAAATGTAAAAAATACTATCGCTACGTTAAAATACCAAATATATTATAAAATTGTTGAAATGCTAATAATTACATTATTGTATAAAAGTTTAGATGTCGTTAGAATATATATATACTTTTCTACATGATATATATTGATATTTGTTTAAAAAGATAATTAAAAATAATGTGTTCTTTTATCTTTTTTAATATAAAGACAATTATGATATATATATATGTATTCTCTACTGATAATAAAAAAGATAATTTTTATAAAAGTAAAAAAAAAAAAAAAAAAAAATATTAAAAAAAATATTCAAAATAAACAAAAAATGAAATAAGACATATATGTTATAATTTTTCATTATTAAAAGTTTATATAATATTTGACTTTTTTTTTTTTTGAAAAATATCATTTAAAAGTATAATTTTAATATTATGAAAAATGTCTTTTTTCAAAGTAGACATAAAAAAAATCGTTTATATATTGAACAAAAAAAAAAAAAATTAATAATATTCTTAAATAATTGATAAATTACATATTGTATATTATATATATATATATATTTATGTTAAAAAAAGAAAAAAAGGATAAGAGTAAAATATTTAAAAAGAGGATTCATAAAAGAAAAAATTATCTTAAAAAAATAAAAATAAAAACGAATAAAATAAAAAAAAAAAAAAGAGAATAATTAAGAGTAAAATAAAATAAAAAGAAAAATAGAAAAAAAAAAAATATGGTTAACAAAATAAGTAAAAATACACTAAATAATCCCATATTGCCAAATTCAAAAATAAGAAATACAAGTAAGGGTAATAAAACATGTAAAACAAAAGAGGTGCAAAAGGATTTATATCAATGGTATATTGATAATAACATTGAAGATAAAAAAAAAAAAAATATAAACATAGAAAAAAATACAGATGAATATTATGAAGATGTAGAAATTAGTAAAAATGTTGAGGAATATATAAACGTATTATGTAGAATAAAAAATGACTTAAAAAGTGAAAAAACAGATGAAAACAATTTAGACGTAATAAAAAAAGTATCTTATAATAAATTAGTTATTGATACTTTTCAGATGGGTAATAAAGGTAGTGTTAATTTTGAGTACACCTATGATAGGGTGTACGATATTGAAAATAATAATCAAATGATTTTTAATGATTATATAAAAAATAATATAAAAAATATATTTCAAGGAATAAATTGTAGTATATTAGCATATGGTCAAACAAATAGTGGTAAAACATACACTATGTTAGGAAATTTTGAATTTTTAAATAATTTATTCAATATATGTGTTGAAAACAAAAATAATAAAGCAAGTAATAGTAAAATATCAATAACTTATGATGAATTAACTAATTGTATAACTAATGAACCTAATAATGTTGGATTAATACCTCATTGTATTAACTATATTTTTAATTATATAAATTATCACAAAAAAAAAAACACAACTGTAAAAAGTAATAAAAAAGAATTTACAGTAACTTTATCAATTTTAGAAATATATAATGAAATTATATATGATTTAATAAGTGGAGAAAGTAATTTATCAGTTCAAATGATAGATTCTCATAAGAATGAATTTGTAATAAAAAATCTAAAAGAAGTAGAAATTGAAAATATTATCAATGCTTTGTATTATTTAGAACAAGGAGTAAATAATAGAAAAATTGCGTTTACTCATATGAATAAAGCATCATCTAGATCACATTTAATTTTTATCATAAAGATAAACAGATTTATATACTCCACTAATACTATGAGATGTGGCAAGTTATGTTTAGTAGATTTAGCAGGAAGTGAGAGATTAAAACAAACAAAAGCTACAGGTTCAATTAAAATTGAAACCACCATGATTAATAAAAGTTTAACAGTTCTAAGTAAGGTTATTAATTCATTAGCTGTAATGCAAATAAAAGAGAAAATGGACAAAAATAATAGAGAGAAAACTCATAATGAATGTGATAACAATGAAGAAAATGACGATCATATAATAGACGAATGTAATTCTACAAATATACCAAAACAAATATCAAATACAACAAAAAAAGCTAAATGCGATGGTTCTGCTACTACTAACGTTCATATTCCATATCGTGATTCTAAACTTACTAGAGTATTATCAGATAGTTTAGGAAATAATTGTAAGAGCATCCTTATATGTACTTTGTCATCTCAATTGCAATATTTAAATGAAACGGCTTCTACTATTAAATTTGCTCAAAGAGCCAAAATGGTTAAGGCAAAACCAGTTATACGTGAGGAAAAAATAGAAAGTAAAAAAGAGGATGATGAAGGAGAAAATGATAAAATTAGCAATATTGATAATGAGAATAATACAACTGATAAAAAATTAAACATTTTTTGTAATTTTAATAGTAATAATATAAATAAAGATATAATATTCTTCTGCTTTAGTTTATGCATTTTTAGTTATATGTGCGGATTCAAAAGTACAGGAAAAACAAAATACTTAGACTTTTTTATTGAATCTTATAAAAACAAAATAGATATAATAAAACAACAACTAAATAAGGAAACAGAAAATAATGATATAAATGAATATATACTAAAAACATTTGATGATTTAAAAGTTCTAACAGAAGAAGAAAAAGCAAAATTCAATAAGATAAATGAAGAAAAACTCAAAAATAATAAAGAAATTTCATCAATTATAAATAATAAAACTGGTGATAAATTACATAATACTGATAAAAAAAAGGAAAATAAAGAACAAGAAAATAATGATAATGAAGATAGAAACAAATTAACTGTTGATTACTTAAATAAAATAAACAATTTCAATAATAAAGTTATAGAAGAAAAAAGCGATTTAGATGGAGATAATTTAACTAGAACGAATGTTTCAAAAGATGATATTATTGATGAAGATGATGCCTTAATAGGAGATATTTTAATAAAAATGAAAAATGATATATGTAATATTTTAAAATTTAATTTAACCAGTTTAAAAAATAATATGAAGGAAGACGAAAAAATGTTTGATGAAATAATTAATATAGTTAATACAGTAAAAGAAAATAATAGTATATTTTTATTAAGTGAGTTAAATGAAAATAAAAACGATGTAAATTTGGATAATAAAGACGTATTAAATGAAAAGAAAGTTTTATTTAATGAATCAGATAATAACTGTATTGAAGCTAATAACATACCTAAAAATAAAAAAGATTTAAAGATTATCAAAGATATAGAAGCAAAGAAAAAAATAAAAAAAGAAAAAGCAAATGTAAATACTAAGAGTATTCTAAATTTAGAAGATCACAATGAAAAGAAAATGAGTAAGTCAAAATTAGAAAATATATGTAAAAATAATAATAATAATCATGTAATAGATTATGTAAATTTTGCTGAAAAAATATTAAGTGTTACAAATATTCAAAATATATTTGATTATGTTAATAATAATTTTAGCAAGTTTATTAGTGATTTTACAACTGATAAAAGTACTGTATTTACTAATTTTGATTTAAATGAAAATATAGATAGACAGGTAATAGAAAAAAATAATACTATATATAATTTTATACATGCTGCTACTATGTTTCAACCAAGTGGAACTTTAAAAAATTTAAATAGTAACTACTTTATTAATAAAATTCAAACAGAAATTTATAATAATTATAATAATCAAAATTTTAATTTAAGAGGGGTAAAAAGCATAAATAATATAGAGAACTTAAAAACAGATAATGATGAAATAAAAAATAATTGTTCTACAAATGAAAACTGTATTAAATCAAAAAATTATAAATCAATAAAAGGTATTGAAACAAGTAATATGCTTCAAGAAAATCAAAAATCTAGTGCATTGAATAAAAATGTAAAATTTTCAAATAAAGATGAAACTAATAACAATTTAGAAATAATTAAAAAAAGTAATAATATAGAAAAATCAGTAAGCTTTTACAATAATGAAGACATATATGAATATAGTAATAATAATAATAATGAAAATGATAACATTTCTAAAAAAGTGATAATTAACGATGAACAAATAAAGAAAGGAAAATTGCAAAGAAGGAAAGAGAGTAATATTAAAAATATAAATGTTTCTCAAAATGAACAGATTTTAGAATTTACAAGATTATTAGAAAATAAAGATTTCAAAAAATTATATGATTACTTAATTGAAAAGGAAGACAAACATGGAACAAACATTTTTCAAAAAGAAAATGATAATATTAATAATGTCTTACAAAAATTAGAATCAAAAATTAACGACGAAATAAAGAAAATAAATGAAAACATCACAGTAGATATTTCTAATAATAATAGAAAATTAGATAAACCATACAAAAAAATAAAAATGATAGAAGGAGGAAATGCAGTTTCTCTCAAAACTAAAAATATTAATAATAGCAGTTTATGCAATTCTAATCATGTAACAAAAAAATTCGATAACATAGAAATTTCATACTTAGAGAAAAAAAGAAATACTAATTTATGTATAAAGAAAATATTTAATATTATTAAAAATATATTCCATAAAAAAGATATTAGAGATTCAATAGAAATAAATGTTACTGATCTAATAGACAATGAGTTTGCACATAATAAAAAGTTGTTAGAAAAAAATTTAGATTCTTACAATATCAGAAATTTTCATATTAATAATAAAAAAATTTATATTTTAAATGAAACAGAATATGCACATTTAAGGGAATTAATTAATTACAAAAATAAAATGTTATCATTTCTAAATAGTGAGTATAAAAAATGTAAATTAATAGTTTAGTCGAATATGGAAAATTTCTAATAATAATAAAAAATTATTTTTAGATACATAAATATATATCTGACTAACGAAATTATACAATATTTTTTTTTATCTATATATATTTAATTATTTAAATAATAGAAAATAATATATTAAATATAACATTATTAAAAAAGGTACATATTTTTTTTTTTTTTTTTATATATTTAAAATTATATGAGCTTTATTAATATGTATAACAAAATATATGAAATTTGTATCTTCATAATATAATTTTATTATATTTTTATGTTTTAACTTTTTTACAAGAACAGTTAGATGTAAACTGTTTAAATAATTATGTTTTCAAAAATGTTCTTAAATTTTTATCATGTTCCTTTTAAATATTTGTTACATATTATTAAAGAGAAAGGAAATGTAAAATGTTTTTAATTTTACATTATCGTTCCAAGTTATTTTTATAATAATATTCAATAGTTTTTTTAATCATTATTTTTATTATAACGTCCATTTGTATTTTTCTCATTATTATTTTTACTATTTATCAACAGTATTTTTATTGTTACTTACATCATTATATTTATTATTATTTTCGTTATTATTTTTATTATTTTTTTCATTATTATTTTCATTATTATTTTCATTATTATATTTATTATAATTTTCATTATTATTTTCATTATTATTATATTTATCATTATTATTTATATTGTTACTTATATCGTTGTATTCAATATAGTTTTGATTAGGATTATTTTCATTGTTACTTTTATCGTCATTATTTTTACTATCATTTATATAAATATATTCACTACTATTTACATTATCATAGTTAATATTAGATTTGTTCTTATATTTATTATATTTATTATCTTTTTTATTATTTTTGTCTTTTTTCCTTTTATTATCACATTTGTTATTATTTATTTTATCGTAGTCATTATGCTTCATATAGTCATGAATACTATTAGTTTTATCATTATACTCATAATTATTTTTATTATATTTTTCTTTACAATTCTTGTAACATTTCTCTCTTTTTCTAATAAAATACTCACTATTATTATCAAAATTCTCATTAAAGTTATTATAAAAATAAATATCACTTAGTGATAAATAATTCCATGTATCACCTTTATTCAAATTTTCTTTATTTTTATTATCCGTTTTTTCAATGTTTTTCTTTTCAGAATTATACATATTACTGTATTTGTTCAGTTTTTTCTTGTAATTTAAAGGAAAAGAAAAAATTTTTTTATTTTCAAAATTAACTTTATAATTTTCTGTAAATTTATCTTCATAAAAAGTAAAAAATTGTTTTTTATAAATATTGTCGAAAATATTACTCTTTTTATACCTATGATTTGATTCTAGTAATTTTTTAAAGAAATTATTATTTTTTATTTTGAATCCTTTTTGATCTTCTTCTTTTACTTTTTTTTTTTTATTTTCATCATCTATAGTTTCTAATTCTGTTTTAAGTAGACATAAAATAGATAGACATATATCATCATTCTCTTTTACTTTTTGTTTTTCTCCCTGATGATTAATGATTTCAAAATTAAGTTTAAATTTTTTTCTATTTCTGTTATATTTTCTATAAAACTATAAAATTAAAAAAAAAAAAAAATATATATATATATATATATATATATATATATTTAAATAAATTAACATAATTATTGAATTTTTTATTATAAAAATATAATATTTACTTTAAATTTTTTCTTTATATCTTCTGTATTCTTCTTTTCTTCTAGAACTTTATTATTGAGGTAAAGTATCTTCAATTGTATAAAAAAAAAAAAAAAAAAGATTAAATTAAATGAATATGTATAATAATATTTAAATTTAATAAATTTTAAATGATACACTTTTATTTAAATCTTCTATTTCCTCAATTAATTTTTTATTATTATCAACTTGCTGAAATAAAAATAAATAAAATTATTTTAGTATATATATATATATATATATATATATATATATATATATATTGTATCATATGTATATTTTATATAATATGTTGGAATTTTTTTAATTTTTTAATATTTATTTATATTATTTTTATTTTATATATATTGTTTTCTAACTTTATGATATAAATTATTTATTGTATTCAGTTGTTGAGATAATCTTTCAATTTGATCTTCACGTAATTTCAAAATTCCTATTAAGTAAAATAAAAAAAATATTTATTAATTGGAATTATTTTACACACATATATATATATGTATTTTTACTAATAAGATTAGATTCACATTTATTGTCATAACTTCCATTCTAATAAAAAAATAATATAAAAAAAAATAAATTCAGAATTAAAATCTTAAATAAATAAATAAAACATACCATTTTATCTATTTTCTCCTGTAGATTTTGTATCCTATCATTTTTCATGTTTAATTGATCTAATTTATAAAATTGTTAATAAATTATTTGAAATTCAGTAAAAACAATGTATTATTACTTTATATATATATATATATATATATATACATCTTTTTTTTTAATAATTAGATTTATTTTTTTTTTTTAAATAAATACCTGTATATATTTTTTTTAATTCTTCTACATGTTCAGAATAAAAAGTACACTAAAAAAGAACAAGAAAAATAATACATATTATTAAAAAAAATAATTACATTATTTTTATTTTTTTTTTTTTTTTTTTTGGTTTTTTGATTTACTTTGTCTTCTAAAATTATATTCTCTTTTTTAAAATAAAATAATTTTTTTTTTTGTCTTATTCTTAGAGTATCAACCTTATTTATTTTATTATAATAGTGCTGTTAAAGAAAGTTGAAAATAGTTATAAAAAAATAAATTCTATCATTTAAAATTTATTATTAGAATATATTTTATATTTACATTTTTTATAAGTTTTATAGCTTTTTTAATTAAATGTAAACTTCTTTTATATTTATATAATTCATTGTGACAATCCTGTAGTAAATTATAAATCAATTATAAAAAATAAAGAAATACAAAATAATAACATTCGCATAGTATAATACTTAATTAATACTATTAATAAGTAATATAAAAATGATAAATAGTTATATTTTTTATGACTATATAAAAAATGAGGAATAAAGATATAGTTATCTATTTATCTAAATCTTAATTTATAAACATAATAATGTTATATATTTTTTATATAGATTAAAAACTATAAAGCAAATTACATTATTTTCTAAATTTTTTTTCTTTCCCTTATGCCTTCTATTATCTGTTAAAAAATATATACATATATATATTTCTATATTTTTGTATAAATATATTTTTTATTAATTTGATACTCTTAATTTATTTTATTTTTTTTCTTTTAATTATTTTAAAAAAAAAACTAATATACATACATTTAATTTCACTATCAATTTTCACATTTATTTGCTTATCTTCTATCATGAGTTCTAAGAATATTACTACGAAATTCAAATAACCTCTAACAAATATTTTTTAGTAATATTATCCAATGGAAAATTTTAAGTTTTCTTAATCAAGTAAAAAATTCTCAATTAAGTAAAAAATTTTAATTATATTAATTTAAATGTTATCATTTTTATCATATAAAAATTTCAATTTTTATTAATGATAAAACAATCTCTTAAAACATGAGATGAAAGAAGTTAAAAAAATTTTTTAAAAAAAAAAAAAAAAAAAATTGGTAAATCAAGTAAAGATTTAGAACAAAAAAAAAAAAAAAAAATAAATAAATAAAAATAAATAAAATAGAATAAAATTAAAAAAAAATATATATATATATATATATAAATATTTTATTGATTTTTATTATGTGTATTATTTTTTATTTATAAAAAAATATATTATTTTATTTTAGGAAGAAAAGGAAATAGTGACACATTTTTGAGATTAAACAAAAAAAAAAAAAAAAAAAAAAAAAAAAAAAAAA